TATATATATATATGACAGCAATCATTTTTGAAGGGAAGTTTCCCCATCACATTTAAAATTTAAATCATTTGAACCCCGACATTTACCAGCATAAAGTATTAGTTCACACAGTGTTTCTCTTGCTTAACAAATAAATTTATTCTACTTGATGTGTAGAATACATTAACATTAAGTGTTTTCCTAAGTAGGTAAAAGTCTGTTTTACAACATGTTAAAATACACCAGAACGTAGGAAATGGCATCTACTTCTTTCAAAATTTCCTGGGGGAGCCCCCCCCCCCCATGGTTCCCCCCCTATATTAAATAATTCTGATGCCACTGAAATATGTAACAATGTAAGGACAACATGGTGCTTCATGTGTAAAGATACAGAACAAAGTTAGAAATGGACTGTTGCAGAAGTGCAGATAGTTTGGGTCCTTGTTTTCCCTCTCTGAACGTCACAAAATCAGTGATATTATCAGTAAAATTACAAATTGAAAATCTGTTGGCAAATCCATGGTTTTATTTTGCCATAGTTTTCAAATCGTCATTTTTTACAACCACATCATAACATTTCTGTTATAGATATTAGTTTTGGTGTGCCACCCCTGGTTTTTCAGTGCCCCCACATGCCCCCCCCGAAAAAAAATTCTGCAGGCGCCACTGGTATGGAGGAAGTCATTCAGAGATCTACGTTTGGCTACAAAGTCCTAGCATAGGTTTTTGAGGCACTTCTTAAGCGCTCAATCCAAACTGCAGGAACTGGCTCTCAGTGAGGCAGTTGCGTGACTAAAAATTGTGTCATTTTTTTTCGCAGCTTCGAGACTTCTATCCCTTCTTGTCACATCTTGCTGGGAGAACTTTTCACTCCTCTCCRTATAAGAGATCATCATGTGATTGGTCAGAAGTTTATGGGGTTGTTTGTTTCTGCTGAAAGCACTCGGACGCTGAATTTTGCTTCAACTACTCACTTCCAGAATCCAACTGTTGTACCCGGAAGCAGGCATTTATAAATATAGTCAAATGACCAAAAACTCATGGTGGACAAATATAACAGCAGATATTTGAGATATTTTGTTTTCCCCAGAGTTTAGACTCCGGTGGGAGGAAATCCTGTGCAATGACGTGTACTGCAGCAGGAGGAGCTTGGTGCGTGCATCTCTGGAGCTATGAAAGGTGTGTGTGAAAACGAACGTCAAACAACCACGTGACCGTGGGTCAACTGTTCAGCTTCGTATCGAGTGCAAAGTGCCCTTTAGGCTCTAAATGACTTGCATTGCTTTTCATTTAATCATCTGTCCTTTGTTAGGTGATGTACTGGGTGACCACAAAGCACTGTAAAGAACTACTCAAAGAAACACACTCATTAACGTAGTTTATTCTTGTTCAAGTTAATAAAAATGACAGGTAAAAATAAGGTGCGAAAGGTTAGAAGTTGAGAACAACTCAAAATAAGGAATGTGTGAGCAACCTTGGGGTGTCACAAATATCTTGCCTTTGGTGTTTTAAAAATCGAAAAATATGTGAGTATTTGTCTTGTGATGTTTTTGTCTGTACAGAAACCACCAGATGTYGGTAACAACCCATGTGATCCATACATACAAAGAAATCAAACCATAAATGTCCAGAAATGAAGTTACTTGTAATAATGTGGAATGGCACAGGGAAAAAGTATTGAACACATGAAGAAAGGGAGGTGTAAAAAGGCAGGGAAAGACAAGACACCAGCTGAACTCTCTCAGTAATTAGAAAGCAAGTCTGCCCCTTGTCAGCTGTTTCAGTCCCAAATGATGACCAGGTATCACACAATAAATGTCTGTTGATGGGTAAAAGTAAAGAGCTCTCTCAAGACCTTCACAAC